GGCTGGGATTGAACACGTCTTAATTAAAGCCCAAAGACAGCAAAACAAACTGTTTTCCAGGCAGGCCCATCGCACGGAGCTCGGATTTTCCTCTGCTAATGAATCAGGGTTGCTCACTCTTATTATGCCTCGGAATAGCAACAGGACTTTGGGTGAAGTCGATCAGGCCTGCGGCACACCCTGCTCCCTTCTCGTTAGTAACGAAGCAGAGGTGTTCAGTTTCATTTTGTGGTACCAGGAAAAGGAGGAAGGCATCTGCCTGTGAAGCCTGCAGCCTTCCTCCACCACGGCTACCCCTACACCTACCTTCACTCCAGAAGGGACACTCATACCTGGCCTAAACTGGCCGTGGTGGAGGGTCCCTCACTTTCCAAAACTCACATGGGTCTGGTGAACACAATACATACTAATTTCAGAAGCAAACTGACACGATAAGTCCATCACACCTTATGTTTTCCTTCCTGCAAGAGGACCTGTGGGCACACGTGTTGCCATGCCAGGGCTCCCCAGGCAGCCGAGCCCTGGGGAAGGTCTTCCAGGGCAACCACAATGGGGCAAAGACATGGGGAAATTTAGGATTTAGGGAGGAAACAGCCTTGCACTGAACAGCTGAAAACACAAGGGGACATTAAAGTGAAACTTTCTTCTCGGGAAGAGAAGGAAAAAGTAAACACCACACTCAATGTCTTTCCATTTGTCAGGTTATAGTTTGAAATGCACACGTTAGAAGATAAGTGTTTTCCAGGGAGGGGTATTTGCTATGGCCACAGTTTCCATCAGAACACAACTATGCATTGGTGGAAGCCCTAACACCACATTTTGACCATGGAAAGATGCTGTTTTTCTGGGGAAGACACCCTCAGAGACCCAGATGTTCTGGCAAAGACTCTGCTCCTGGAAGATGCCCTGTTCTTCAGCAATCCCTGAAACCAAGGTGAGCCTTCAGGCAGCGGTGGGGAATCTCACGACCCCCTCAGCAGCTCTCCCCTTCCTAGAGTTCCTTGCAAGGAGCTTCTGAGTGAGGAGAAGTCTCACTTTGTTCTCTCCTGGGGTATTTTTCAAACCCAGTCATGGTATGTTCAAGCAGAGCCCCATTTTCCGACTCGCTCCCCTGCCCACAGCTTGTCCGAAATTTCAGCCCACCCCGGCATCTCCTTCAACCACCACCCTTAATCTCCCTTTTTTTTTTAAAACTAACCTTAACGATTTGAAGTGCACTGTCCAACACTAGGCTATTGAGACTGGAGAAAAACCTGCCCTCGACTATCAACAGTTTATTAGGGGCTTAACTGAAGTGACCTACTGTAGCAGCATTCAGCTGAACGGGGCCATGGGCTTTCTGTGGAGAGGAGAAGAATTGAGGGTTTCATTAAAAAGTAATTTGTGCTTTTTACTCATTCATTCAACAGGAGTCTCAATTGCTCTTTATTCACACAGAGTTAATACAGTATTACAATGCTGCTCAATGAATGTATGGTAACAAAAGAAAAATTTCACATTTTGAAAGGGAAAAAAAAAATAAATCCTCGCAACTGCAGTAAGATTGATGACTACTTAAAAGATTACAGAAATCTTTTTCCGTCTATGCTTATGCTTAATGATGGAATATTAAGGATTTTTAAAATCCATTCAGCCCAAACTAATAAATTTTGATTTATTGCTGCACATGGAAAAGACTCCTGAAAGTGAAAGGGGATACGCTCAGCCGACGGGAAACAGCAAATTAGACAGGTACGATACAGGTGTCTCGGGCTCGGAGGAGGGCAAAAGATTAACTCTGAAAAAACAACACAGCAAGAAGAGCAAACCAGTCTCTAGCTTTTACTGGCACGAGCAATCCTCGGCCGTGTAAGTTACACCCCTGATGACAGCGCTCTCCTCACTGACTAATAACCCTTCCTTGGCTGAATAGAGGAGGGGGGTCAAGTTTTACACAGTTTTTGGCAACCATGATTTATTGACAATCACCAAATTTCCACTGTGAGTTACTCCTAAACATTACTATTCAAAGTTTAATCTGAAATGAGTGATCTGTACGTACCCACAAGTGACTAAAAATAGCTATAAATTACTACAGCACTTAATAAAACCCCTCTTTTCAAAACACCAGCTATTTTTGTCCAAAATATACAATGATTTCTGTAATGTCTGGAATGCACAGCCATTCCACAAAACCTATCTGTCCTAGAAATGCTTTTTCTTGCTAATGAACAAAATACAGGGGACACAAAAAGGTACTGAGTGTTTCTTCCCCCTCTTCCAGATCGTCGCTCTAAATGCAATGTCTGAAAATTTTTGGTAGCTCTGTACATCTTTAATTGAATCAAACGTATTTCCAAAAAAAAAAAAAAATTTGTTCAACCAGCACAAATGACATGTTGATCTGGAAAAAGTCGAAGATTGAACGAGGTCAGGGACTGAATTATCCCATTTGCCCCTGAATAACTTAATCTCTCTCTCTCTGTTCAGACCACATTGGATTATAAGGTCAGAGCAGAGTGAGGAATCTTTAGCGGCGTTTCTCCAACCTGCCTGAAAATAGAATCTCTTATTTTGCGTGCCACAAACTCGATGATCAGTTTCAGCAATAAAATGTTTACTCTGTTAAAAGAACACATAAATACTGGTACTCATGCTAATTTACAAAAAACTATAAAAAAGTAAGTATGTTGCTCTATATCCACATCTGCCCCTATTACAAAACATTTATATCCAAATTACAGTTAAACCAGCTAGATTAGTATAGTTTCCTTTTTTTTTCTTCTCCATCTTAAAGCAGAGATGGCTATTTTCTAACCCAGAAGCAGCTCGTTTTGCTCCATTCAATGTGAGCAACGTGAAGGCGATTTTACTTATGGGAGATAACTTGGACACTTCTGGAGAAAAATGGTCAGAATGGCTGAAATACTTTGTCTTCATTTTGAATAGCAAAAGGTTAAATTACCCGTTCAACTTGTATCGCATAAAATAGAATATACAATTTTTTTTTCTTATTTCCCTTCTTGAAGAGATAAGCAGTAGCTACAGGAAACTGCATTTATTTGAAATGCCTGAAACCAGCAGCAGCCTCGCTAAAATAACTGACAGACACCGAGCACCTTTTTTGGCAAGAAGTTTAAAGCAGTATACAAGTCCAGCACCTTTTATTTGCCTTGTCCTCTGGGATTCAGCTTTAATTTGGATAATTTTGTTATCTCTTTATCTCCTACCAAAAGAAGTCTTTTCTGTGCATTTTTTTCCCAGGACCTCTGATGGAGAAAAATGTACATTTCACCCTTCTGAGAAATAACCTACGTGGGGCTCTGCATCAGAAGGACTTGCTGCCTTCTTACAAAAGTTCTGCTTTTTTCCCTTAATGAGCAGAAGGCGAGACTGTGCAAACAGACAACAATCTTAAGATAAACTCCTGTTTTAAACACTATTTTTTCTTCCCCACTTCTGAAAAGGCCCAGTCTTTCTAGGGTATTTACTGTCACAGAAACTAAATGAATCCTTGCCTGTGACATCAGCTGCCATCAACGCTTCTGCCCTGATGACCTTCACCTGAAGAAATCCCACATCCTTCATGTTATGAAACATCGCCATTAGACTCTAAAAAAAAAAAAAAAAAAAAAAAAAAAAAATTGTGTACAAAAAAGTCCAAGAGAGTTGTCTCCTAAATTTAAACTAGCAACCAGATTGGTTCTTCCTGCTGAGAAAGTCATACAAATTGCTTGGGGGCTGTCTTGTGGTGGTGGGGATTTATGTGTTTGGAAGCGACCTTAAAGATCACCTTGTTTAAATCCCCCTGCCGTGGGCAGGGACACCTCCCACTAGACCTAGAGTGCAGTACCAGAGAAGATGTTTCACAATCAATAAATTAAAAATCCCCATAAAACCCTAAAAAAAAAAAAAAAAAAAAGAGAAATAATTCTGGATTGCAAAAAAGAAAATAGAGAAACCAAAAGCAGTATTAGCAGTCTCCTCCCTACCCCAGATATGTGTAATTCTGTCAAACGTAGCAATGCTTTTAAATACTCCTTTCTGAAGAATGTACAGTTTCTTTCAGTGTTTTGCAACTTTAACTTACCAATGAGAAATGTGAAGGGAAAATGAGGAGATGAATGATTAAATATAATACTGAATTAATCCCCTAATAGTACATGAACAACTGTGTGTTGAAATTTTAAACGGTAGCAGTGTATTAACAAAATTAATACAAACAGTAAAACACTTTCTCTCCCTGAATGCTCTTCTGAGATCTGTGTTCACATTTTCCCCTCGATGGCTCCAATACTATTTTAAACAGTGTCAAAGGGTCAATATTGGGTTTTTTTGTAGTTGACCACTACACACAAGCCTGCATATAGCATCTATGCATATATAAGCTTGCACATGGCTTGCAAATAACACGAGCAAAAACCATCAAAAGAGGATTATAACAACTTAATAACATTTATAATAATCACATGCAAAAAAGATTTTAAAAATGAATTAAAAGATGGTTCCAGTTTCACGGCAACAAGCTCTTACTATAAATATTTTTTAACATAAATTTCTACAACATCTGCATATATTAAAAAGTGGAAGAAAAAAACTAAAGAATAGACTAACACTTGCATTTATTCATCCAATAGAGTTTTACAAAGCCGTGTGGAAGGTGCGCTCTGTTGATGCTCTTTTTTCTAATAACTCGAAGTAACAAACCAGGAGCATTGCACCAGGCAGGTGTGACACACCAAAACACTCCAGCTCTGATTTTGAATATGATTTAAAAGTTGCAGCATTTCAAACGACAGAACACTGAATGCAACTGTGAATCTGCAATCAATTAATAACAAACCTGGCATTATCATTCACTGTTTAAATAACCAAGCGGAGAAACCCCAAAAGAGGAGACTAAAATTAGGTTTTCAAATCCATTTTAAATCATATGTATACGTGGCCTAATTTTTGGATGCTTTTGCAATGTCTTGTTCATAAATACTAGCACGTACCTTTATTTTGAAATATTTTAAAATGAGGACTAATGCATTTAATGCCTTTGGCCTTTTCTCAAATTATAATGTGGGGCCGGTGAAACCTTTTCCACGGCTTATGATAATGCCCAGATTTCCAGAAAATGCAAACATCCGGTAAAACACCAAGTCAACAATTCTTTCATTTATTATGAAGGCAAAATCGACTGTTATGGAAAGCCGGAATAAATAACATCCCTGATCTGAAAACCACAGGTGCTGCTTAAATGAAATATTAAATGTCAGCCGGCAAAAGCTGCCGCCTGTTTGTGCATAGGTAACCTATCCATTAGCACGTTGGACGTATAATATGTAATATGCATCGCTGTCTCTTTATTAATAGGACAATTCTAACAGTTAAATCACACTCTGGTATTAATTTCAGGAGCCCCAGCTGACCCTTGGCTGTTCACAGGGGGGGTCTGACCTTGGCACGCTGAAAGGAGGGATCTGCTGGGGAGCCCCACACGCTACATACGTGTGAACACGTGTGTGTGTGTTATCACAGGAGAATGGTTAAGGCATTTTTATCATTTTTTTCAATACGTGAGCGGCCAGAAATGTGGCTGATGGTCAGCTCCAATCAGTGCACACCCATCAGGGGCAGTGCTGTTAGGGTCAGACACACCTCGGCACCGTCCCTTGGAAGCCTCTGACTGGAACCAGTACCAGCACAGAGATCATCCTGCTCCCACACCAGGACAAGAGGGGAAGGGTTTGCACAAACCTCCCCACATTTTACCCAAGTTTCCCACCGAGGGAAACAAACACCAAGGCTCAGACAGAAAACAAAGGCAGAGCCAGCCAAGGGACGGCCCCCCCTCCCCGCAGCGCCCTGCACTCCCCTCTCTCCAAATTTCATCAAAAAGGCACCAGTGCTCTATTATACTCTCCCACCTTTGTGAGTGTGCAGCAGAACCATTATTTTTGAACTTTTTGGTTGCAGTGAGCTGGCTGGCTGGGATTCTTTCACCCCTGGCTGCGGGGGCTGCTGGAAATGTATACAACACCGTGGCCGAGGCTCCGGGAGGAGCAAATGGCTTTAATGCATTACTTTAAATACATAACTTTAAGTAATGATTTATCAGATGGTATTCTGTCTTCTTATTTATGATTATTGTTGAAGGCCTCAAAAACCCACATGGTTTCTGAAGCCTGAAATTTCCATAGCAGAGCAATCCGTGATTTGCTGCGAATCTTTCCAGCCCTCAATAGATGGGGAAAGATTGAAATGCTCTGGAGATGAGTCCTCTTTATTTTTTTAATGAAAGGCTGTATAATATATTTTCTGTATGGCTGCAGCAGCTGTCAGGGAGAGCATCTCAGTTCAGCTCTATTATGGGAGAAGCAATACCCCATCCTATGGCATGGAGATACACTGAGGGGCCAGCCCTGATTGACAGCTTGTCACCATGACGTCTTATTCCATCTCTGTTATGGAGAAAATTAATGTCACACCACCAGCCTTATGACTCGCTGTCATCTTAGAACTGCTCACCTTTTATCAATGCTCTAAATAACATTTCAAGCCCATCGTCTCACGGTGGACAATCTGGTCAAGGGACATTAAATCGGATGACTGTGAAATGTCATAATAAAAATGGAATGCTAACAACTTCTTCTCTAAACTAGCTCCTCTGGTTTTTAAACTGTGACAAGGGGGACCGCGGGTTCAGCACACCCGTTCTGAAAAGGTCATACAATCTCTCTTGGTCCGTACCCATTAATGCGCCCCCCTCCTCACCCCAAAAGGAATTAATCTTTTTCAGACAATTGTGGTAAAATAATGGTTCAAACAGTAATGCCTGTTTAATTTGTAAGGCTCTGATGTTCAGCTACAAATGGTTAAATGACAGTAATAGAGTCATTTTCCAAGGCTATTTGATCTGATGGCAAGGTCAGCTCATTAACTGTTTTTTTGGCCGCAGAAAGGGTGCAAAATACATTTCTCAGATGGGAGCTGGATTTCTTTAAGGGGGCGAAAAATAGAAACCCCCAAAATCCAGCCTGTCGGTGGGGAACAGTACATCTTGCTAATTGCGTATTCTTTCTTTGTATTGGTTCTGCAGCAGAGATATGAATACCAAAGGCAAATTGAACACCGGTGAAAATAAACTACTTGAATTTCAATAATCCTTGTCATTTCTTCGGCTGTCCACCGGTCATTTTAATAAGAACAGTAAAATTTATCAAACATTTTATATATTGATGCTACAGTTTTCAAAAACACACAATGAGAAACTCACGCCTCCATAATCAGAACATCTTCCAAAAATAAAAATGTTTTCAAATGCATACAGGAATGTAAATACAAGAAAAGACACATATCCATAAATGTGTAATAAAAGGAAATAAATAGATCAGTCTTAACGCGATATAATTATGCTCTACACCGGGGACAAAAAATGGAGAATTTAGGAAAACTGATTAATAATACACACTTGAAACACGTTTCTATGCTGCCACTAAATTATCAAAACCATCAGTATCACTTGACTGCTGTATCACCACACACAGTAATCCACAGGAACAGGGTATTGCTGCACTTGGTAGCACGAAGTATGTCACACCTCACAAAAACACCCATCGCAAATTTATTATATTTATAAAGATCCATCCTGACACCCACGGACCGCCTTGGCGGATCCCAAAATGCGCAGCGACTCTCTTAATTGTAATTATTTCTCAGAGACGGTGCACAATACCTTAGCTCTCAGTTGGTTTAGGAATATTATGTTTAGCCTCGCTAAGTCACCTCTATTAAACTGTGTTTATGATAAGGCTATTGGTGTATGAGTTGTACAAGCATTAGCAGACAGCTGATTCCGTGGAGATAGCCAGAATAAATTTGCTGAAGCGCACATCCTGCTAATCTGTTTGAAGAATATTGTACAGCATTAGTACTAGCACTTCATGTTATCTGCACAGCCTGATAAGGTACATCTTTATTAAATTCAGTTATTGAAAGGATGTCAGTCATGGAATAGGAATATTTTAAAATCTGGGGGAAAAAAAAAAAATAAAATTAAGCGGCTCTTTGTTAGTCAGAGCTTGGTTTAATGGCTGAGTGTCTAGAGAAGCCTTTCTAAACACCTGGCAGCATTGTACAATAAAAGCTTTGTAATTTTAAGTGGAAATAGCTTTTTTTTCCCTTTTTTTTTCCCCTCTTCTTTCTCGGTGTGTAGTGAGACAGTTACTTTTAGTGATTCAGGCGTCAGCAAATGCTGGAGTAAGAGCTCCCCTCTCTGTTGCTTTGATAAAACTGCACAGATTCTGTGCAATGTGAGGATGCTGGGAAATGAAAATAATTCGCCTCTGAATATTTTGAAGTGGAAATATTGTTTAGAACTATTATTTTGAGGGTACAAAATCCTGCCCCAGCCCCCAGTGCGCAGACAAAAAAGTAGGTTTTCTTGCCCCTTTAGTAGATGGTCCAAAAAAAGCCAAGAGCTACGGGCACCTAAAGCCATCTGGCATAAACACACTCTGGAAACTGCACTGAGAGACCCCTCAGTTATTGTGTGATTAGTGAAAACTATCTGCAAGGCAGCGAAATCAACTTCTTGATAGCACATGATCGTATCAAAGAGCTGAATTACTATTTTAAAAATACCTTCTTGTGTAAAGATGGTTTGTAGCCTGTGTGATGTTATCCGTACCGGCCACGATAATATTAGCAACTAGTTTAAATGACTGTCATTGGCTGAGGATATAAGGGATATATTTAGATTTTTTCCCCCCCTACATGAAAGCAAACATTTTGTGAACAAAGGGTAAGAGAGAAGAACTCCATACATATCTCTTGAGTATCTCCTCCCGCTCCTTCTGGTCCTCCAGGGAGGTGCCGGAGAGGTCGGAGATGGTGACGGCAGCCGAGGCGGTGAGGGTCACCAGCAGCACCAGGCACCCCTCTCCCTCCTCCAGGGGCATCTCCAGCTTGTGGGTGTGCTCCCTGCTCAGGCTCGAGAGGTCCACCTGGCACCTGAAAACAGACATTCTCATCAGGCTGGGGCTTCCCTCACCTCCCCTTGCTTGCATCCCATGGGACAAAAAAAAAACCACCCCAAACGAGTAGAAATTGGAAGTCTGGAAGGACTTTTCTGCAGCTTCAACCCATGATGCTTCCTTGACTGTATTTTTTGAAAGGCTACAACCTGTCAAGCATGTGAATAAGGAGTGCTAAAAAGAACACACAGGCACCAGGAACCAAGTGAGCTAATACGCCCCGCTTGAACCCAAGTCAAAGAGAATTTTAAAAATCCAGCTTCAGATTCAAAATGTACTTCTAATTACACCTCTTTCATATACACAACTTTTGACGTGAACATTTCTGATGCCATTTCTGGGGCAACAGGCTGCCCAGGGAGGGGGTGGAGTCCCCATCCCTGGCTGTGTTTAAGGGCCATTTAGATGCAGTGCTGAGGGACATGGTGTAGGGGAGGACTTTGTAGAGTAGGGGAGATGGTTGGACTCGATGATCCCAAGGGTCTCTTCCAACCTCAATGATTCTATGATTCGTCTAACAACAGGAAAAATCCTCTCTTAAAACAACCAATAAATCCATGTGGACTTAATTGTGGTGGAGTTAAGACCAAACACACCTTGAGCACCACCCAGGAGGCTCCTCTCCCACCATGAGCTGGGGGTCAAACCTTCTCCCAGGATCAAACCTGGTGTCCCCACCAGGTGTGAGAGGAGGTGTTTGGGGTTGTGATGAGCAGGGAACTCCAGGAACGGGTCCACCCCACCTGCACCCACCACATGGAGAAGGGTTCACACGCACCAGCCGGCAGAAACAGCCCCAAAATAAAAATTAGAGCACGGAAGGGAAACAGCATCACTGCTAACAAAGGGCCGGACACGGGCTTTTAATTAAAGAGAGAATGCCTTAGGGTTAGTAATTAGCCTGCTTAGAATTTTTAATGTTTTAATTTGTGCAATGCACAAGTTTGGACTTCCCCAGACTGCGGCTCCGAGCGTGCCTGGAAATTCAACGTCCCATGTCCTGCACAGGAGTTTCTGTGAAAAAGCACTATTTGGAATACTTTCACTTATCGCATCCCCCAGCAGCGTTTTGCCAATTCATTACTCTAAATAAAAACAATAACAATATTGAAACAAGTAAATGAACGTATTCTACATGTAGTTAAGCCACCGAAGTCTCTACTTTTAACGGAGATTATTTAATGTGACAAGCACATGTTCTATGTGCCACTCTCACTAAACTAAACATCTAGCAAACTCTTTTCATAAAATGTCAATTGATTTTGAAGAGAAAGATAATGTGGTGACCGCAGGGCCAATAAACTGAGAAAAAGGTGGCAGACATGAATAAATAGGCATTTAAGGACAGGAAATAGCCAATTATGAGAATAAATGCAGCCTCATAAAATGGGGGCTGTGCTATCACAGGCAGATTAGATTTGCTACAGGAAAATTTTCTTTTAATTTTTTTTTTTTTTGGAAACATTTACTGTCTGTTGTGCAGCTGTCAAAATTAAACCCACTGCGAAGCTCATACAGTAACAAGGTTCAATTATTTTACAACAAAAACCATTTTGGACTGACGTAGCATTCTGAGCTTAACATTTACCATTTTTATTCTCAACTCTTAGGATGGGAAGGGCTGAGAAAGGAAATTAACAGCATGGAAGGACTAAAGCCAACGCTGTCAGTGTGGGCTGATGGTCAATATAAGTTCTGTACATATATATAGGCTGTTAAATTTTTATTCAGGCTGCAGTGAGGAGTATAAAGCTCTCCTTAAGATAACAAATATTGTAATCAACCATTCAATGCTGGCGTAGGTTAAGATGCCCCTGTTGTTAAATGTTCTGAGATAGTTTAAAATAGGTACCCTCAAAAATATGTCCCTGCAACAACATTGTGATTTTAACCAACAGTCACTGAAAAAAAACCACTCTAAACTCTCTCAGAGTCAGTAAAACAATCAGAAAGTTATTATTATACAAGTAATACAGAAATAATCCACCCCTCACTCAAAAATGGGCAACAAAAGCTACTTCCACCGGAACAAAAAAACCCCAACATGCATCAGAAAATGGCAATGACTGTAAAATCACAGGGTTTACATCAGAGCTACGAGCTCTGAGTTCTCCATTTCTGGAAGTTACAGCACTTTTGCACCATTAGCAGTGCACGCTGATTTTTACTGAGGCTGAAAGAAGCAACTGACAATTTGATTTTCCCCGCGCACCGTTCCTACAGAAATGTTCCTGGTAGCACCACACAGGGACCCTGAGAAATCTCCACGACCAGCCCCTCACCAGCTCTTTATTTCCTAAAATCAGACAAAGGGTTGGGACTGATCTGGTGGAAGCTTTTTCCAGCCAAAGCCTTAACCATTTTACAGGGAAAACATCCTGTGAAGGGTCCCTGGGTAATCGGATGAAAAACTGGGGTTCTTCCACCCCTGCACCTCAAGGAAGCCTGGGTTGTTTAAGGCATTACCTGAGCACTAACCCGACCCTGGAATAACCTTTACAGACATCAGTAGGAAACCCACAAAACTCCTTTTTTTTTTTTTTGGATTACGTTTCCTTACAAGCCCTGAAGTTAACAATATAATTCTAAAGATAAATAGCTTTGGAAAGCTCAGGTTGATGACGCCTCTTTACATTTTACTGAGAGTACATCCAGGATTTCCAAGGCTTAAATCCTCAGCAATGCTGAGTTTTACATCAGTTAAGATGTTCTCTGAACAGACATTTGTCACCTACAACTGTTTCCATGGAGAACAAAGATGCTTTGAGGATGAAGGTGAACCCAAATGTTACCAGTGGTGGTAATGAGCATATTGTGGTGGTAGAAATTTCTGTCTTGCCTTCTCAAACTGGGGACCATGAAAAACCAGAGCCTTTTTGAGAAGGCCACAAGTTGTGTGTAACCAGCAGCTGTCACACTGAAAGTAGGAGAAAACAGTCATTTTGGACAATTCAGTTTCTTATGGAATTACTGTTCACATGCTGCTGCTGAAAGAAAAAGTTCTCCACGCGTGAAGGGGCTAGCATGAAAAATTATGGCAAAAATAGCCATTAATTCCATAGACAGATTTTCAAACATGGCTATAAATCACATTTTAGGGCAGTTTGAATATTTTGCTATGGTCCCTCCAGTGCCCACATTCCGCCAGCATCGGCAGAGCTGACCCTGGGAAGAGGCACGTCCCCCCAAAATCAGTGCCCCACGGGAAGATCACCAAGCATGGGGCAAATCTGGGATTCTTATGCCCAGAGAGATCAGGAGGGAGAAAACCCACCACCCAAGTGCCTGAATCTGATGGGCCAGAGGAGGGCAGAGAAGAAGCTGCAGAACCAGGGCACGGCTCCCAGGCAGGAAGACGGGAAGGTTCAAGGGGATTTCACCACTTCTCTGAAACTGTGCTCAGTGTGTTAATCGCCCAAACTGTTAGAAATACATTTCTGATTTATTTTTAATTTGAATATATCTGGCCTTTGGTTCTTTTCATGCCTTTCTTTACTTGGTTGAAAAAGCCTTTAGTGCCCCGTATTTTCTTCTAGCGAAGGTACTCATATACCATAATCATATCTTTTCTTGATCTTCCTTTTGATATGCTAAGCACCTCCAGCTCCCTATACATTTCCTTGGAACGCATCTCCTGCAGCCCTCAAATGACTTTTTTGTAACTTTTCTGATCCAGTGAAATTCTCCCGCAATCCTTTTTCAAGTGTGGAAGCCAGAACTCTATGTAGCATTTTATTATCAGCATGTCTGAGAGGTAAAAATCACCTCCCCTCTCTAGTTCTAACAGAACCCAGAATGTAAGACCGCGTTGGCACCCTGGTGAAATATCCTTGCTAATGAATGAATTACAAAGGTAGCGACATGACATAGAAGGCCTCTTAAAAGCCAGGTGGCCAGGCAAGGGAGAGGCAGCAGATAGTGAGATCATTTTCTCACATGACAAAATAAAGCATAAAAGAGGAATTGGCACAATCCTAAGTGATAGGGACAGAAAAGCACCACTTGGCTACAACCCAGGCAACTTAATTATCATCATGACTCGTTGGGGAAGGCAGCCTTTCAACTCCGCCGCCATCCGGGTCTACGCTGCTCCAAAGGATGCCAAGGAGAGGGAAAACTGTGCAATTCTGCAATTAGAAGTGAGCTGGACACACATCAGACGCCGCGAGGCACGAACTGCTACAATTTGTGAGACTCCGTCTCCTTTATGAGCCCAAGAGTACAATGTTCCAGTAAAAAAAAACCAAGAAACGAAGGGCGAGGGGGAATTCTGCCCAGCGCCGGCAGAAAAACGGCAGGGCTCGGAGAGAGGGGGACTGCAGCAAGGAGAAGTTCCAGGGAGAAGCAGACTTCAAAGTGCAGAGATAATGAGAAAGAAATAAAACGACAGACCCCACACGATGCTCGAGATAGGTGGTGGGGAGAGGTGAGAGACTGAAAACAGGGAAAGCTCCCCAAGGAGCTGGAGGCTGCAGCTCCGCTAAGTAGGGCAGCCACGGCGCAGAGAGCCTGGGAATATGGAGGGTCCCCGGGATGCTGGGAACACTCAGGATCTGGGAAACGGTGCTGCTGGGTGCCAGGCAGCAGGGAAGTGTCCTGTGGTTTGGGGTAAGTCGGTCTGGGGCACGGCGCAGAGAGCCTGGGAATATGGAGGGTCCCCGGGATGCTGGGAACACTCAGGATCTGGGAAACGGTGCTGCTGGGTGCCAGGCAGCAGGGAAGTGTCCTGCAGTTTGGGGTAAGTTGGTCTGGGTCAGGGAAATAATGAGCTACACGACATACAGGACAACCTCACCCCTCCCTGAGCAACGCCGGAGCAGGGACAGGCACACTGCTGGCTAAAAGAAACACAGTCCATGCCACAAAATCCTGCTGGTGGGTTTTGAAGTGACTGATTAACATTTTCCTAAGCACAGCTCTTCACAGTAGAACTACAGATTTACTTTTTGAATTGCAGAGACAGACAAAGGTACTTGC